GGCAATGCAGCGTCTCGTGGGTGAGAGGGGTGTGCTTGGCATGAAGGAGTTGAGGTAGTAATAGTTATTCCAGACCTATTCGTTTTTAAGCCATGGCCTTGACAAGTGTGGAGGGTTTTCAGGCTATTTTCTAGACTCCTAGAGTTCAAATGAAATCATGAGTCTGATGAGAGAGGGCGGTCAGCAGGGCCTGAGTATGTGGCACTTGAGGTACGCTGCTCTGCTTTCACCAGACCAATTCTGTTTGTTTATTCTTTTTTTAAAAATTTTATTTCTTCTTATTATTTCAATTTACTGTAGGGCACCTGTGCTCATAAGACAGACAGACAGAGAAAGCAAGGGTCTAGGACTTGAACCACGTTTGGCTGAGTAGAAGTCTAGTGCCTTAGCTATCACACCACCGGCTAGATCAGTTTGTTTGTTTGTTTGTTTGTTTGTTTATTTTTGTCATTGGGCATGTGCACTTGCTAGAGAGAGACAGAGTGAAAGGGAGAGTGAGAAATCACCCTGTGAGGGGATGGCCACACCACAATCCCGTCTTTTCCATTCTTCTCTTGGAATTTTGGGCATGCACGCATGCAGTGCATTTCTTAAGCCACTTCTCCAAGACTTCAACCGTGGAGCCAGCCATGTGGGATCCAGCACTTTAACTACCATTTCACCTGCTCGCCCGCAGTTCTGTTTTAATACTTTAATATTTCACTTTTTAAAATACAGTATCTACTGTTTAAATGCTTTAAGAAACTATTGTTATGGATATTTTCAAATTGCTCACTTACAACTCAGCTCAGGCCACCAGGAACTTTCTCTGTTCACTATATTCTCTACACTCCAGAGGCTCAGCACATTCATGTACAGGCATGTGCATACATGTGCACATGTCTGTCTGAATTAGTGTCTGTCTTCCAAGCTCCAGTAGTTCCTCGTCCTTTTCTTTAACTTCTGCTGGGTTTTCTGCTTATTTTTCAAATAAGAGTAAGAAAGTCACCTTGACCTTGATAGGAGAAGTAATGTACAACAGTGGAGTACATCTCTGAGGAGTTTAGGTAAGATAGGTCAGGAATTATTGATAGATCAGTGCCTGCCTGTGTCTTAATGGTTTTGTGAGTTCACTTTATTTCTATTGTTTCTTTTGCCAAACGGTGCATGCGTTTCCTAGAGAGAGACAGAGAGCAAGAGAGGGAGAGGGAGAAACTCCGCCTGACCCCCTAAGTGGGACATGGTCACACTGCAGTCCCTTCTCCATTTCTTCATCCTGTCAAGATTTTTGGACATGGGCACACCCACCCACACATGCCTAGAGTATTCTTCCAGCCACCAGGGCCAGGATTTGAACAGCCATGTGGGATCTAGCTCCCTTAACCACTAGGTCTCAGGGCAGCCCCACTTTCTTTTTTTAAACTTATTTATTTCATTTGTGAGAGAGACAGACAGACTCCCTTCCCATGCTGCATTCTTCTGCACAGCCTCTCAGTCAGAATCACAAGCCCTGTGTGTTTATATCAACCTGGGTTCTGAACCCATGTGTCTCCAGTATCTTGCAGCAGCACCCTACTCCCTGTGGCACTGTAGCTGAGCCTACAAATTGAAGTTTGCTTTTTTAAATGCAGAAGGGTACGTAAGTGCACACATGCAAGAGAGAGAGAGAGAGACAGAATGCACACGTGCATCCCCCTACAGGGCTGCTCACACTGCAATCCCTTACCAGTCCTCCATCTTGTCAGAGCCCTGGTCACATGCAGACATGTGTGCCTGGCACGTTTTTCAAGCCCTAGGGCCAGGGCCGGACACCTGAACACTCTTATGGGATCTGGCTTCCTCTGCAGAGCATTTAACTACTATGTTCCAGAGCCAGCCAAGAAATAGTTTATTTGTTTTTAATTCTGCTTGAGGGCCCATGTGCTCACCAGAGATGAGGAGAGTGTGAAAGCCTTTCCTATGAGGGATAGTCACGCTGTAATCCCTTCTCCACTTCTCCATCCTGTCACAGTTTCTTTTTTTATTATTTCAGTTTATTTATTTGCATTCATTCACTGTACATCATTACAGCATACAAAATGAGATTCTCCATCCAGAGTACACTGTATATTGTCTCAATCAAGCACATCAACAAACATGTTATTGTCAGCAAATAATTTTCCATTTCTTGTTTTCTGTATGTTTTGCTTTTTTTCCCCCATCTTTGATTCCCTATCTCTTACCCTCTGCCATCTCCCACTCTCCTCCTACACTGTCTCTGGTATCTATGTTTGCTTTCTATACTGTTTTCCCTCCACATTTTATTGAATTACTAAAGACCTTAATTAATCTAAATATTTTCATAGCAAACACAGGTGATATATACATTTCCATGAACACAAGTCTAACTTTATGCATCCTATAAAGTAGCACCTAGCTGGGACTATATGTCTTACTGCAGTCATTAAATAGATATTTTTTTTTCCTGAAACTTTTTTTTTTTTAACTTAATTTTCCATTCCTTTCCCACCCACATTGTATTGATCACACAATTTCTTACATAATCTAGCTACTTTCAATGGTGACTTCACTTGTTACTATTAAGAAAACCAGTTTTAACTTAAATCAAAGCAATGCCAGGGGACTTTGTTTAAAGCCAGGAAACAGGTTAGGATTCTGTTCAAATGGTAGGTGCATGAACCTATCAGTCTCATGTACTTTTATCTTCTGTTCTGGTTCAATTTTCCTGATTAAATTCTGGGATATAATATTCAACTGTCACAGTTTCTTAAGCCACTGGACCCAGGACTTGAATTACTGTTGGCCATGTGGGCTCCAGCTCCCTTAGGTTATAGGGCTGGCCCAAGAATCTCCCCCCTTATCTTTTTCCCCAAGGTTTTTGGCCATAGGGTGTGTGCTCTTGCTGGAGAGAGACAGAGAGAAAGGCAGTGAAAGGGAAAGTGAGAAATCACCAACCAGGGGTTGGCCACGCCTCAATCCCTTCTCCTCCATTCTCTTCCTGGGATTTTGAGAATGTGCACATATGCACCTGGTGTGATTTTTAGGCCACTAGGGGTGTGGCCACGCCACAATCCTTTCTCCTCCATTCTCTTTCTGGGATTTTGGGAATGTGCACATATGCACCTGGTGTGATTTTTAGGCCACTAGGTCTGGAACTCAGACTGCATTTGGCCATGGGGAGTCCAGGGCTTTAACCACTATATCCCCGGCCGGCCCAGAAGTTCACTTCCGATGAAGCTTACTGATGTGTCCTTTTCTCTTTCCTACCATTATTAGGTAACCAATGGTCAAGGGGAAAATAAGATGAAAAATTTACCTGTGCCTGTCTATCTCAGACCTCTAGATGAAAAAGATACGTCAATGAAAGTAAGTTCACTTAAAATTACAAACTCTGGATAGATTTTTAAAAGCAAATATGAAAAATTTAAAATCTCTCTAGAGAGTGACTTACTACCTTTCTTTCCATCTGAAAAGCTGTGGTGTGCTGTTGGAGTCAATTTATCTGGTGGGAAGACCAGAGATGGCGGTTCTGTTGTTGGAGCAAGTGTGTTTTACAAGGATGTCACCGGTTTGGATTCAGAGGGCAGTAAACAGCGGAGTGCATCTCAGAGTAGTTTAGATAAGTTAGATCAGGAACTTAAGGTAAGTGTGTGCACTGATATTTGACCTCCTTGTTTATGAGAGAATGATTTAGCTCTTTGGTCCAGAGTTTACTTTCTGCTTCAGCTTGTCCTTCGGGATCACTATGCTCTTACTTAATCCTCCCCTACCTCCTCTTGCATTTTACTGAAGTGTAATTTATATACAATAAAATGTATACTTGAAATGGATATAGTTCAAAGAGTTTTAATAAGTATACCTTTGTAACCACCTCTACAGTCCAGTTACAGAATGTTTTTTATCACTGATCTGCTGATTTTATCACTTTAACTGCTGATTTTTTGTCTGCTAATGAATACTGATAGGTGGTTGGATGTTTACCTTTCCAAGTAATCTAGAAATAAATTTCAAATAATATTGCATTTTACTTTAATAATGTATCCTCATGAATGTTAGCACACCTATGTCATATTAAACATTCACTTTCTTTCCTTTGTCTATACAGGAACAGCAGAAGGAGTTAAAAAACCAAGAAGAATTGTCCAGTCTAGTCTGGATCTGTACCAGCACCCATTCAGCTACGAAAGTTATCATTATCGATGCTGTTCAGCCTGGCAACATCCTAGACAGTTTCACCGTTTGCAACTCTCACGTTCTGTGCATTGCAAGTGTGCCAGGTAGGAGCGAGCCACGCTCTCTCAGAGCCTCCCTTCTGCTTCCCCGTCTCTGCACTCCTTCCTGATGCTAACTGATTTGGCTGCTGGAAATGTGGTTGTGTTCCTTGCCCTCGTGGAGTTTATGTTTTACTTGTGCAACACTGAAAAATCATCTGGGAACCACTGACTAAACAAGATACTTTCAGACAGTGAAAAATATTGTGAAGAAAAATACAACAATGGAAATGTGAGAAGATAACCAGGAGGCAGAGGATAAGGGACTGAGTGTTCTGTGGTCAGAAAAGTCATGACACATTTTTACACAGAAAAATGCCATGACTTCTCACAACCCGATAGAGTAATAAAAAAAAAAAGTCTTCTAAAGTTCTGAATTAAATATTATGTGGTATTAAAACATTAGTTTAAAATTAAAGAGATATGTGATATGTCCACACAGGTGTAATAATATTTGGCCATGGTGTGTGCTCTTGCTGGAGAGAGACAGAGAGAAAGGCAGTGAAAGGGAAAGTGAGAAATCACCAACCAGGGGTTGGCCACGCCTCAATCCCTTCTCCTCCATTCTCTTCCTGGGATTTTGAGAATGTGCACATATGCACCTGGTGTGATTTTTAGGCCACTAGGTCTGGAACTCAGACTGCATTTGGCCATGGGGAGTCCAGGGCTTTAACCACTATATCCCCGGCCGGCCCAGAAGTTCACTTCCGATGAAGCTTACTGATGTGTCCTTTTCTCTTTCCTACCATTATTAGGTAACCAATGGTCAAGGGGAAAATAAGATGAAAAATTTACCTGTGCCTGTCTATCTCAGACCTCTAGATGAAAAAGATACGTCAATGAAAGTAAGTTCACTTAAAATTACAAACTCTGGATAGATTTTTAAAAGCAAATATGAAAAATTTAAAATCTCTCTAGAGAGTGACTTACTACCTTTCTTTCCATCTGAAAAGCTGTGGTGTGCTGTTGGAGTCAATTTATCTGGTGGGAAGACCAGAGATGGCGGTTCTGTTGTTGGAGCAAGTGTGTTTTACAAGGATGTCACCGGTTTGGATTCAGAGGGCAGTAAACAGCGGAGTGCATCTCAGAGTAGTTTAGATAAGTTAGATCAGGAACTTAAGGTAAGTGTGTGCACTGATATTTGACCTCCTTGTTTATGAGAGAATGATTTAGCTCTTTGGTCCAGAGTTTACTTTCTGCTTCAGCTTGTCCTTCGGGATCACTATGCTCTTACTTAATCCTCCCCTACCTCCTCTTGCATTTTACTGAAGTGTAATTTATATACAATAAAATGTATACTTGAAATGGATATAGTTCAAAGAGTTTTAATAAGTATACCTTTGTAACCACCTCTACAGTCCAGTTACAGAATGTTTTTTATCACTGATCTGCTGATTTTATCACTTTAACTGCTGATTTTTTGTCTGCTAATGAATACTGATAGGTGGTTGGATGTTTACCTTTCCAAGTAATCTAGAAATAAATTTCAAATAATATTGCATTTTACTTTAATAATGTATCCTCATGAATGTTAGCACACCTATGTCATATTAAACATTCACTTTCTTTCCTTTGTCTATACAGGAACAGCAGAAGGAGTTAAAAAACCAAGAAGAATTGTCCAGTCTAGTCTGGATCTGTACCAGCACCCATTCAGCTACGAAAGTTATCATTATCGATGCTGTTCAGCCTGGCAACATCCTAGACAGTTTCACCGTTTGCAACTCTCACGTTCTGTGCATTGCAAGTGTGCCAGGTAGGAGCGAGCCACGCTCTCTCAGAGCCTCCCTTCTGCTTCCCCGTCTCTGCACTCCTTCCTGATGCTAACTGATTTGGCTGCTGGAAATGTGGTTGTGTTCCTTGCCCTCGTGGAGTTTATGTTTTACTTGTGCAACACTGAAAAATCATCTGGGAACCACTGACTAAACAAGATACTTTCAGACAGTGAAAAATATTGTGAAGAAAAATACAACAATGGAAATGTGAGAAGATAACCAGGAGGCAGAGGATAAGGGACTGAGTGTTCTGTGGTCAGAAAAGTCATGACACATTTTTACACAGAAAAATGCCATGACTTCTCACAACCCGATAGAGTAATAAAAAAAAAAAGTCTTCTAAAGTTCTGAATTAAATATTATGTGGTATTAAAACATTAGTTTAAAATTAAAGAGATATGTGATATGTCCACACAGGTGTAATAATATTTGGCCATGGAAAGGACTAAAGTCCTTTTTCTTTTTCTGTTGTAGGGTGCATGCGCTCACCAGAGAGAGACAGAGAAAGAGAAGGAAAGTGAGAAAGAGAGAGAAGGAAAGTGAGAAATCTCTGCCCAGGGGTAATGTCCACACCATAATCTATTCTTCTCTTGGGATTTTGGACACACATACACACGTACCTAGCAGTGTGTTTTTCCAGCCACCAAGTCTGGAACTCAACCGTGGAGTTGGCTGTTTGGATCCAGTACCTTAACGACCACACCACCTGCTGACCTGGAAGTCCTTTTTCTATATTTTATTTTATTCTACTTTTTAAAAAAGAATTATTTAATTTATTTGTAAATATTATTTAACTTGACCAGAGAGAGACAGAGAAAGAGAGGAAGGGAAAGTGAGAAAGCAAGTTGCCAGGCCCAGGACTTGAACTGTGGTCGGCCATGTGGGAGTCCAGTATCCCAGTATCCCAACCATTGTGTCACCTGCTGGCCCCTCTTCCTTTGTGTGTGTGTGTGTGTGTGTGTGTGTGTGGTTGGAATACCCTCTTACCAAATTTTGAAGTGTCAGTATGCTATTATTGACTAGATGTGGAAGTTCTCACACATGCTTTGTGTGGATGAGCCTTGGAAACATTAGGTGAAATAGGCCAGATACAAAAGGATAAATATTATGTTTCCACTTATGCGAAATGCCTAGATTAGCCAAATTCAGAGACAGAAGTAGGGTAAAGGTTACTGGAGACTGAGCATGCTGTGCACCACCTGATCTTAGCTGATCAGGATTGATGGTGTGTGCTCTCAGGAGGGCTCAGGGCATGAACCCAGGACGTTTTCCATGTGGGTCCAGTTGCAATACTGCTATGCCACTATCTGGCTCCCAGTTAGTAACCATCATTATTTAACACAAATTTTTGCTGACTTATCATCTATAATCAAATTGTTTTTAACTTCATGTGGTTGCTAAGGAGCTCAATAAGCACAAAGGTGTCATTTCTGACTTTTCATTTTGTTTATTTGCACTTGTGTTAGTAGAAGTATTATCTTTTTTTTTACAAAATATTTTATTTAACTTTATTTATTTTATTTATTTATTTTGGAGTGGTTTCTGGTGTAGGGTGTGTGCGCTCACCAGAAAGACAGAGAGAGAGAAAAAAAGCGAGAAATCACCCCCCAGGGGGGATGGCCATGCCACAATCCCTTCTCCTCTGTTTACCTCTCAGGATCTTGGGCACACACGCACACACGCCTGGCGTGAGTTTAAGCCACCGGGTCCGGGACTCAAACCATGATCGACTGCATGGGAGTCCAGCGACATAGCCATTATACCAACTGCTGGCCCTTTATTTATTTTAATTTGACCAGAGGGGGTAGGAACTGAGAAAGCAAGTTGCCAGGTCCAGGAATTAAACTGTGGTCAGCCATGTGGGAGTCTAGTATTATTAGCCACCATACCACCTATCAGCCCCAGTAGAAGTATTATTTTAATTTTTTAAAGTTACTTTCCCACTTTGCTCTTATTAATCTGTTGGGTTGTCGGAAAAGTCATGACACATTTTTGAACAGAAAAGATGTCATGACTTTTCTGACCACATAACACATGGCCCCTTGTCCTTTCCTTCCCAGTTATCTTCTCATGTTTCCATTGTTGTATTTTCTTCACAGTATTTTTCACTTTCTGAAAATATCTTGTTTATTCAGTGGTTCCCAATTGATTTTAATCAGTTTTAATAAAAGTAATGTTACTATCTTGGCAGTATATTTAAGTAGGTATATGTCTCACACTCACCCTCTTATTTCAAACCTATAGTTGATTTAATAGGAAAAACGGTGTTTATGGAACTTTACTTAGATATTAAAAGAAAGTTCATCTTGGGCCAGCAGGTGGTATGGTGATGAAGGTGCTGGATTCCCACATAGCCGTCTGTAGTTCAAGTCCCAGACCTGGCAACATGAAAATCACAACAAATAAATAGATAAATAAATGTTTTTGGTTTTTAAAAATTTTTTTTTATTTAAAAAGAAGATCTATCTTATTTTTTTCAGGAGCACGAGAGACAGACTACCCTGCAGGAGAAGAACTTTCAGAGTCTGGTCAGGTAGACAAAGCATCTTTATGTGGAAGCATGACAAGCAACAGCTCAGCAGAGACAGACAGCCTGTTGGGAGGCATCACAGTGGTTGGTTGTTCTGCAGAAGGTGTGACAGGTGGTGCCGCCTCCCCGAGTACCAACGGTGCTTCTCCAGTGATAGAAAAACCACCAGGTATACCTGTCCTTATATGCTGTCTGTGTAGTGTCTGAGGCTACCCCATATGCCTCATTGTGGACTTAATTTAAATCTTAACAAGTAACAAGGACAAAAGAGCTTGAAAGAGATGCTGTAATGACTGTTAAAAGAAATCAAGAATTCTCTGTTTCATGAAGCACAGTGTGAAGAAAGGGAGTAAGCCGAGTGGAATTGTATGGCAAGGGTTTGTGTAGGGAGAGTACTGGAGGAAGAAGCCTAAACTTGGACTGTTGAGAATGTTTTATTTTGTTTTGTAGAAGTAGAAGCAGAAAATAGTGAGGTCGATGAAAATATTCCAACAGCAGAAGAAGCAACTGAAGCCACAGAAGGCAATGCAGGGTCAGCTGAAGATACCGTGGACATCTCCCAGGCCGGCGTGTACACGGAGCATGTCTTTACAGATCCTCTGGGAGTTCAAATCCCAGAAGACCTCTCCCCTGTATATCATTCAAGGTATACTGATGGGTCAGCAACTCGGGAAACTGGGTGAAGTGCACAAGTAAAATGAACCAGAATGATCTCAAACAGCCCATACATTCCCACTAACTGGCAGCCGCATGGTAGACCGGAAGGTGCTATTGCCTGTTCCCGCTGTCTTCATTTTGTCCCTGCCCTTTGTTCCCCCTATTTCTTTTCTAGGCTTTTCATTTAAAAAGGTAATGAAATCTTGTCAATAAGGTAATTGGTCAAAATCTTCCTGGTCATTTTCTCCTTTCAATGATTTTTTTAAAAAGTTAATATACCCACTGTCTTACATTCTATTACTACTACTTTGCCATTTTAGCCTCCATCCTGCTCTCACTCTCACTCTAGTTATAAGCAAAATTGAACGTTGCTTAAATTGTCATTGTTTGAGTTTCTCACATGGGCTTCAGTGACCTTTTTGAATTTCATTTTTGTGCAGACATTTTATTCGGAAAAAAATGTATTTTAGGCTCTTTCTTTAAAAGGTTAATCTAGGCCCATTTAGTGAATTCTTTCATTTTCTTTCCTGCCTTCTCTAGATGAGTGTCTCTTAATTGGATCCTTTCATGGTATACTCTTATTGTATATAGATAGCAGCCTGGAGTCTATCAACATTTCATTATCAATTTAAGAACAAAGTCATGTTTTGAATTTGACAGTCCAGTTATGTATCTTTGACTAAGTATGCCCTGACAACCCAAAGGAAAGATTTTGTGATTGAATACTTTTTAAATAAGTGTTTTATATATCAGCCTCCTTTGAGCCATGTGTATGTAGGGTTTTGTTTGTTTGTTTGTTTGTTTTTTATGATCAGTTATTTAATTAGGTTCTTGGGAAAAAAATCTAGAACACCAGTTTGTGAGGATAGACTCCATTTGTAAGGGCAAACACGGATCACAGGTAGCCCTGGAGCTGAGGAACAGCTTTGATTTTTGGTAAAATGTGTGAGTCCACAGCTTTCTGATCAATCTTGCGCTGCTCTGAAATCTCTTATTTCTCCTTCTCTGTGTTGAAGATCTCACCTTCCTGGTGTCTGGGCTTCCGCAGTTTCTTTTTCTTGAAGTAAGCATCGGTAAGGTGCTTTGGGATTTTTACTTTGCTAATACCAATTTTCGTGGAGGTGGCAATGACAAATTTCTGGTGTGTTCTACGCAGTGGAACTCGATTGAGAACCAGCAGTCCAGTTACAAGTAGCAAGCCCCTGCTCAGCTGCTTCAGGAAAACCACTCTCTTGCCTCTGTGGCGTCCAGTGAGGATGATCAGAATGGTCCCAGGAGTGATGCTGGCTCGCAGCTTTCTCACATACTGACTGAAGGGATTTTTGCCGTGGCTCAACAGCTTTCAAGGCACAATTTAGTGGCTGAGTATTTCCTCTTGTCCATGGCCTTCCTGGAATACATGGCAGACCGGGAGTATCTGCTGATGCCCCGGACTAGGACAGGGTTTCGGCTGCAATGGGGCTTCCCCTTCTTGGGCTTTTTAGCCTTGGAGTCACCCTTTTTAACCTTGCCACTGGCATCAGCCTTCTTGGCTTCAGGTTTCTTCTCCTTAGTATCCTGCTTTGCAACTTTATCGCCTGCCATCGTGTATAGTGGGAAAGAGCTGTAGTTTTGAAATAAAGCATCCCTTCACCCCCCGCCCCCAGGAGAAACTGTCATAAACTTCAAAATAATTGTAGTTGCTATATTTCATTACCATGTCTTACTACCTTATCTGCACTTTGAGCCTCCTGGTTTGCCCATGTCATTTCTGGTGGTACAATTGTTGACATATTTAATGTAAGCATTTAACTTTCGCTTTTTTTTTCGGTTTTAGTGCTTGATTTGTTTTTCCCCATTATAAACTTAAATGTAGAAACATTCAGTCCCTGAAATCTAAGTATACTCAGATTTTTTTTCCTGCCTTTCCAGTAATGACGCTGATGCGTATAAAGATCAGGTATCGGTATTGCCGAATGAACAAGACCTGGTGAGAGAAGAGGCCCAGAAGATGAGTAGTCTTCTACCGACTATGTGGCTTGGAGCCCAAAATGGCTGGTAAGGGCCATGCCTTAATATTAGAGTTCCTTCAGCTTTTACTTGTGCTTTTGAAATCAAAAATAAGTAAAATATGTTGAGTATAAGTACAAACAGAAAATGTGGATCAATGTAAAGAATTTTGCATATACAAAATTTGAAGTTATATTGCATCTATTTCATAAACTGGACTTATATTAGTTTTGAACGATAAATTGTATAGGTTTTTGTTTTGTTTTGGTCACAGAATGTTCCTTTTATATAATATTCTTAGAACAAGAGGTAAATAAAATTTTAAAATCCAGGTGGTTGTAAACTAGAGAATCCTGGCCAGCAGAGACAGAATTATTGATATATGGAGGTTTATTTAGGACAGAGTGTGGTCAAGAAATACAAGGGATTAAATCAATGTGTTTAGTTGCAAGAACGCCAATCTCAAACAAAACTTTTTAGTTAGAGTTCATGAGAAAACCAGAACAAATCAGTCTGAAAGCTCAGAAGATTGTAAACAAACGTCACATGGTTTGTTCACATTCTAGTGGTATGAAAGTCTTACAGAATTATGCATTTCCAAAGGTTAAGCAAGGTCACTTGAAGGAGTCCAATACTATAAAACCTTATGGGCAATAAAATCTAAATTTTATATAAATCCCACATGTCCGAAAAGAATGTTTTGTTTTTTTCCCTAGTTATTTAAAAAGTAAAAACTTTTCTTAACTTACAGGAGGCAGGGTAGATTGGACCTGCAGGCCGTACGTGGGCACTCCTCTAGCCTTTCACAGCCCTTTCATCCCAGAGCAGTAATTTGGTGTAGAGAAGTGAGGTCATTCACAGGAAGGAGTGTGGCTGAGGACCTTAGGGTGTATGGAACCTGAAACTAATGAGCTGTGCATTGCACTAGTTCTGGCTTTTTAGTTTTCATATTTTTTCCATTCCCTGAAGCAGTCCATTTTTCTGCCTTAGTCCTACCCTTACTTTAATTTTTGTTTTCTAATTATTGTACAAAAACAGCAGCAGGGCCAGCCACGTGGCATGGTGGCTAAGGTGGCTGGATCCCACATGGCCGCCTGTTCATTTTAAGTTCTGGACCTGGTGGCTTGAAAATCATGCTGGTTGGGTGTGCATGTGTGACCAAATCTCGAGAAGAGAATGGAGGAGAGGGGATTGCAGTGGACCATTCCCCTGGAGGGTGCTTTCTCACTGGCCCCTCCCTCTAAGTCTCTTTCTAGTGAGTGCATGAGTTGTATAGCAAATTAAAACAAACAGCGGCAGCCTTTCCTAAAATGTGTATATTACTCTTTCTTCCTGAATGAACTCTGGTATTATTAGCTGTAAGCAAGTACTTTATGTCCGATACACCTCACCAGTTCTGACTTTGCTCTTGCAGTCTGTACGTCCATTCATCTGTAGCCCAGTGGAGGAAATGTCTCCATTCCATTAAACTCAAGGACTCAATTCTCAGTATTGTGTAAGTTCTATTTTCAAAATTCTTTCTTTTTGGGACCACGAGGTAGTGTAGTGTTTAAGGCACTGGACTCCCACATGGCTGACCACAGTTAAAGTCCCAGACCTGGTGACTTGAAACTCAGACTGGATGCATGTATGTGCATGCCAAAAATCCCAAGAGGAGAATGGAGGATAAGAGATTGTAGTGTGGGCCATCCCCGCTGGGGGGTAATTTCTCACTTTCTGTCTCTCTGTCTCTCTCTGTCTCTTGGGTGAGTGCATGTACCCTATATGGAAAATTTTCTCAAAAACAAAAACTTTTCCTTTTCAAATTATATCTTTAAGGTATAAACTAGATTTGAAAACTATTAAAGCTAGTAGGTATTTCAGTATCCAGACTTGTTTGTTTTAATGGAACTAGAGAAGTTTAGTGAGAATTAAACTCCATAATAAAAAAGTAGAATAGAAAATTTTAAGTAAAAGAGAAAACTTGCGGGACCAGCAGTTAGCATAATGGCTATATCGCTGGACTCCCACATAGTCAACCGCGGTTCGCGTCCCGGACCCGGTGGCTTAAAACTCAAGCTAGGCGCGTGTGCGTGTGTGCCCAAGATCCCGAGAGGAGAATGGTGGAGAAGGGATTGCAGTGTGGCCATCCCCCCGGAGGGTGATTGCTCGCTTTCTGCCTCTCTGTCTCTCTCTGTCTGGCGAGCGCACGTGCACTATAGCAAAAACCTCTCCAAAAAGATAGAGAGAGAGAAAACTTGCCAGATTTCTGTGATTTCTTCACTACACTGTGAATTCCTATTACTTTAGAGAGAGAACCAATACCTGTTAATTTATATTTTTTTTCTAAATAGTCTTTGTAGTTTGTGAATATGTTCCTGAGGGAAGCATTGATTAACTAGTCCGTTTCTGTATATTGACTCTCAAAAGACAACTAGACAGTTGCCTCTAACCCCACAGACTTGACTCTTAGTTCCACTTAAGGCATGTATGTCTGGTCTGAGGGGTGTGGGTCAATTTTCTACAGTGAGAGCAAGAGCCTGGGCTGGAGAGAGAAACAACCGAGATACCACACAGCCTGTTTATTTAGTCCAGTTGACATTTTTCACAGCACGATGGTCACAGTGGAGAAAGTGGTGTGTTCATTTATGTTTGGTGTAAGCCCCTTACGTCATCACAGACTGGCCCTTTGAAAGGCTCTGGACTAGTCAGTAGCATGTGGTCCCTTCTGTATTCATGCATGGACAGTTCTCAGATCCCTTCTCCTGTTTACAGACACGTGAAGGGAATTGTCTTAGTGGCCCTGGCTGACGGCACTCTTGCAATCTTCCACAGAGGAGTCGGTGAGTGGTTATAAACGCAGAATGTATACACTGATTTGTTGCTTTGCAAAGCAATTTTAAGCAGAATGGCTTGTTAGCTTTTAAAGAAATGTTACTTAATACGAAAAAGAATAAATGTTTAAACTGAATACTACATTAGTAAATATACATGTGTGCCTGCATGGAGAAATATGTTCATAGTATACTGTAAAAAAAAAAGTCACCATGATGAGCAAGTAGTTTGTCACTTTATGGTGCTCTTATATGAGGGGCCTTCAGAAAGTTCATGGGACATGTGTATTGTGAAAAAACTGGGGAGCCAGCAGTTAGCGTAATGGCTATGTCGCTGGACTCCCACGTAGTCAACCGCGGTTCGTGTCCCGGACCCGGTGGCTTAAAACTCACACCGGGCGCATGTGCGTGCGTGCCCAAGATCCCGAGAGGAGAATGGAGGAGAAGGGATTGCGGCGTGACCATCCCCCCGGGGGGTGATTTCTCGCTTTCTGTCTCTATGTCTCTCTCTGGCGAGCGCACACACCCTACAGTGAAAATCTCTCAAAAAAAAAAAAACAAACAAAAAACAAAACTGCATGGATTTCATTATTTTTACAAAATAAACTTGTAATTTATTTCCTTTTTTGTGAACTTTTGAAGTCTCCCATATAATGTGATAAGGAGGCATTTATTTTTCATTCATATACTTACTCATCTAGGTGAAAATTGGTGAAAAAAATTTTCCCCTTTGTTTTAAAACTAATTTGCATTCAGTTACATTTGGAAAGATTTTTTAAAAGAAGTTTTAGGGCCAACAGGTGCCGTGGAGGTTAAGGTAGCTGGATCCTACATGACAGGCTATGTTGATTCAAGACCTAGACCTGGTGGCTTGAAAATCATGCTGGGCACATATTCGTGCATGCCCAAAAACCCAAGAGGAGATTAGAAGAGTGGGGACTGTGGCACCCCGAGGGGTGATGTCTCACTTTCCCTTTCTCTTCCTCTCTGTCTCTCCTTGGCAAATGCATATGTCTTATAGCAAAAAAAATAAATTAAAAAAAATAATAAATAAATAAATAAATAAATAAATGAGTTTTAATTGGGTAAGGCTTAATTGTGTTTATGTCATGTTGTTTATATTCTTCACCTTTAAAACCATTGTTTCTACCATCTGTAGAAGGAACCTACCAAGGGACCTACTGTGAATGAATTAACTTTGTAACTCCTTGGTACATGTGCCAACCAAAAATGAGATACTTTATTTCCTACCCACTAGATTAGTAGATCAGGGAAGTGTTATGAAAACATAGATGCACCACTGCACACTGCCCACATCCTTCTGGGCATGGAGAATTGTGGGGTAGGTGATACTTACATGCCTTTGTAGTTGACTCAGACCTCGTCGTAGCTGAGTAATGACTCCATATTATCAAAAAGTACGAGAGTTCTGTTGTTCGTTGTTCAGGCCTTTACAGACCTTGTCTGTGTTCAATCCACATGACAACTTATGTGGAAGATTCTGTTGTCGTCCTCACGTGACAGATGAGGAAACTAAGGCACAGCATTTGAGTTACTTTTTCATGGCACTCAGCCAGTAAGTAGAAAAGCCTTAAAAAATACAGAATAATAAATATTTCCATAAACTAAATCCAAAATTACATTGATAGAACAAGACAAAATACATTTAATAAGGATTAGTGTAAAGTCCCACATTTGGGTTCAGAAGAGCAAGATGGGAGAGACCTGTTTGAAGAGACAACCTAAAGGTTGACCATAAATTCCATAAAGTTAGTTACACCTTAAGCCTCATAGAAATAAAGTACCCAGAACAGGGCCGGTGATAATCCTGCTCCGCTCCACGGGTGAGAGAGCATGTGCACGGACTATCAACCGAGTGGAGTCAGGACGAAAAGTCTGTCAACTGTGATATGTACAAAACACAGGCCAAGGATGCTTGGTTTTAAAAGAAGACTTGGGCTGTAACTTAGTGTAGACTGGATTTATTCTTTGTGTTTCACTGGGCAAAACTGCACACCAGTGGGCAATTACGTACAAGGAAGCAAACATTCAGCTGTATGAAAGTGAAACAGCTGCTTTGTGAAGCAGTACATCTTCTTTCACTGAAGTTGTTCACTCAAAGCTAACAAAACAAAACAAGCTTCTTGTTTGTATTTACATTATCACTCAAAATAGTCTGCACAGTTCTAAAATGTTAGCAATGAATTGCCCTTGACTTCTACCCATGAAAATACATCAAGTGTGAATGAAAGACATGATATCCCCCAAATAACCTTAAGCCCATTCTAAGTGTAGAGAATGAGTTTTAAAGGGGTTGCAAGTACTGGGGATCAGATCAGATCAGATGACCTTTGAGGTCTCTGCCAACTTTGCAGTTTTGGAATAAGAGAACCCAGTCTCTACAAATGAAAGGTACATTGATTACGTGGTATTTTGAGGTGCTTCATGTGTATATTTAACTGTATACAAAAATAGAATGTTTCTCATATTGAACTTGAGTAGAAGTGGTATGCGTTAACTGTAATTCATTTATTTTAAAGATGGGCAGTGGGACTTGTCAAACTATCATCTCTTAGACCTTGGACGGCCTCACCATTCCATCCGATGCATGACCGTGGTACACGACAAAGTCTGGTGTGGCTATAGGAACAAAATCTATGTGGTTCAGCCAAAGGCCATGAAAATAGAGGCAAGTTAGCCTGTCATTTATGTACTTACTGACTTTGTATTCCCCAGAGACTAAAAAGTATTCTGAGCATCTGCAGAAATTGTTTTCTGGGTGTGTGTGTTTTAGGGCACTCCGGCAATATATTTAGATGTCTGAGCTCTCTGTGTTACTTTCTCTTTCTTGCCACTTGGACTGTGAGCATAGTCAGAAAGGAAGGAGGGTGACACATGTATGTTTAAATGTGTGTCTATGCATGTATCATAGATACCTGTGAATTTTATATCGGTACCTTGTTCTTGATATGTTTAATTATATAAGGATTGGTTGAGAGAAGGACTCCCAAGTGTTCCCCACCCCATTTGTATCCATGAACATCCATATATGTCACAGACTGAGAAATAGCATTGAAATAGGAATGTGTTAGAGCAACAAAAACCTCTTAGCATTGCTGTCCTAAAAAAAATGTTGCCACAGTACATAAATACGTAAATAAATTCATCCTTTGTGGTATAGTCAGTAGCGTGCCAGACTGCAGAGCTGGAAGCCACATGCCAACCACAGTTTGAATCCCCAGTTTCGGGTCAGTGGTTGACCTGAAACACGTTATGCAGTGAGCTCATGCCAAGGATCCTGATGAGCTGGAGAACTGCAGGAAGGGGATTGTGGTGCTGTGGCTAGGCCCTGTGGAAGGTGCTTCTCCCTCTCTCATCATGCACTCTATCATGAACAAAAAAATAATTTAAAAAATATATAAGGCTGGCTCTATAGCACAGTGGTTAAGTGCTGTGTGGAGGGATTCGATTCCTGCATGGTAGACCATGGTTCAAGTCCAGGCTTTGGTGGCTTTGAAAAACATGCTGGGTGCCTGTGTGTGCATGCCCCTGATCCTGATGGGCTGGAGAAATGGAGGAAAAAGGATTGTAGCATGACTACACTTCACTGAGGGGGTTCTCTCTCTCTCTTAAGCACATGTACCTCTGGCATCAAAAATAAATAAAACAAATATAAAAATATAAAATTTTAAGATGTAAGTAAGTTCTCTTTCCACCTTGCCCCGAATCGTATTCTCTATTCTAGATGTCCCAAAGTTAACCATTTGGTGTTTATTTATCATGTTTTGGTGGTTAAGGCGCTGGACTCGTACATGCTGACTGCAGTTCAAGTCCCAGACCTGGTAGCTTGCTTTCTCACTGTCTTTCTTTCTGTCTCTGTCTCTTTCTGGTGAGCACATATGCCCTGTAGCAAATTAAAAAATAATAATGATAAGTAAAATTACATAATTTGTTTTTAATCTGTGAAGCACGGTTACATGATCTGATGTGCCAAGGTTGCTTTCCTAAGTTAATGTCCTGTACAGTGCCGAAGTCTGATACCCTCTGGTTCTTTGCTCTTCATTTTGTTTTGCATTCTAGGATAAAATCAGTTTTGTATTTAAGAGTAATCATGTTTACTAAGCAGTACTTAGGCTTCTATTTTAATAAACAGTCTGCCAAATTCTTGTGCAAGTTAATGCAGTTTTTAAAGATGACCTCTTATGTAATGAAAGTAACTTCGTGACTGGACTATCTCTTCTAGAAATCATTCGATGCACACCCCAGGAAAGAGAGCCAAGTGCGGCAGCTTGCATGGGTAGGCGATGGCGTGTGGGTCTCCATCCGCTTGGACTCCACACTCCGTCTCTATCACGCACACACCTATCAACATCTGCAGGATGTGGACATTGAGCCTTATGTAAGCAAAATGTTAGGTAAGCTTCGAGAGCATCTCATCATTGCCAAGTGAAGAGAGTCTTTTATTTTTAAATGGTCTAAAATGATGGATAGAACCAATGAGTAAGTTGCCTCAGGAATGGAGAACTCTTATCATTGAATATGTAAGGCAGATGCCCCAGTCTGCCCTGTGGTTCCTGATAGAAACTGAGGGTCACTCTGTTTTGAGGGTGGTGAGATTTTTGTTTGTTTTTATGTTATAGTTTGGTTTTTAAGTTCTCTAATTAAATCTTTACTGTGTCTTTCTTTCTGACTGATAATAAGGTGTACCTTCCTTCTAACAGATAATGCAATGCTAGCCACTTTAGAATCTTCGTTTTTCTGTTAACCCTGAATTATCAGATGGGTCATAAGGCCAAATAAAAATTTGTACACCTTCCGGAAATGCTCATCTCTCTCTGGCCACATTTCCTTCCTTTTGTATTAATCCAGCTACTCTAAAGAACTTGGAATCTTAAAACACCATCCACTCTAGTTTTTTGATAAAATGTTTTTCCCCTGTACAGGTACTGGAAAACTGGGCTTTTCTTTTGTGAGGATCACAGCTCTTATGGTGTCTTGCAATCGTTTGTGGGTAGGGACAGGAAACGGTGTCATTATCTCCATCCCATTGACAGAAAGTAAGTACGTTTTTAAGTAATTGTCACTGGACATGTAGGATAGTTGTAGAAGAGTTAATATCCAGAAATCAGCTAGAGGGAATTACTTAGGTCATTTAGAAAATCAAGCCAATAGCCAAGATCTAGCTATTGCTCCTTCACTCCTCCTATAGAACTTACCAGCTCTAACGAGTAGTTTTTTTCCCAAAGACCAGTGTTCACAATGAAAGGTTTCCGTTGTGAGAAGCTCTTTTCCTCAATTCAGGAATCGCAGTCCTATGTCATCTCTGAAGTAAAGGTTGGGGTCCATTTTTCTTTCAGCTTTATTACACCAGAGTCTAGAAGACTACCTAACATTCTTTCTAGCTTTTCATATATTTCTGAAGATAGTTTAGAGTATCCTATTTGTTTTGAAATTTTAAAAAAATTGTAGAGATGAGAAGGAGACAAGCTGCTGGAGACAAGTCATCTATTGTCTTGTTAAAAAGGAACGTGATTTATTTTCATGAGCAAAGTATATATTGTGTGTTTCTCATAAGTGTTCCATTACATTGATCATCCATTAAGTAAGTGTTTTTATGTTGCAAAATCCATGATAGGGAATGGTTTGAAAAAAATGCTGTAAGTCCACGAAGTAAGTTAGTAAATAAACACCTCCGATCACCCTATCTTTTCAGGGGTATGGTAGAAAGGAAGACTAGAGGGTGGGTATATTTGAAGCCTTTGATGAACCCAGGTTTTTTAATCTGTGTTTTCAGCTATTATTTATACATCTGCACATTTAAACCATTTAGAGATCCCAAGGTTCCTAAAGTTCATTTCAGCTTTCTCTCTCTCTTTTTTTTTTTTTTTTGCCATAGGGCATGCACACTCACTGGCAAGTGAAACAGAAGGAAAGTAAGAAATCACCCCTGTGGGGGGAAGGCCATGCTGTAACCCCTTCTCCTCCATTCTTTCAGGGTTTGGGCACATGTACACAGGTTCCCAGTATGTTTTCTAGGCTGCCAGGTCTGGGACTTGAACCTTAAAGTCTACCATGTAGGATCCAGCACCTTAACCACCATGCTACCTGCTGGCCCCCATTTCAATTCTTTATAAGACAGAGTTCCATTTTAGCATCTTTTTTGAACAAGACTTCTTTTTAAAAACATACAGAAAAGGGACCAGCTGATGATGTAATGGTTACGTTGCTGGACTCCCATGTAGTCAGCTGTAGTTGAAGTCCAGGACCCGGTGGCTTAAACCTCACACCGGGCACATGTGCGCGTGTATATGCCCAAGATCCTGAGAGGATAATGGAAGAGAAGGGATTGTGGTGTGGCCTTCCCCCGCAGGGGGTGATGTCTCACTTTCGGTCTCTTTCTGCATCTCCAGCGAATACACATGCTCTATAGCAAAAATCTCTCAAAACACACACACACACACACACACACACACACACACACACACACACACACACACACACACACACACACACACACACACACACAGAGGGAGAGGGAGAAAGGAGGGTTATTTTAGCAGTTAGGAAATGCCCTGCATTTGATTCAGAGTCACTAAAGTTGCTTTGTAATTAAGAGAACTAAAATCACAGAAAGCTCATTTTCCTTTTTGAGAAGAGATCATCTATAGAGGCTTTGGTAAGGGCTTTATGTGCTGCTTGGTATTATGCCATACTGGGTTTGTTGATTCAAATAGGTGCCTTGAGTGCCAGATTGCCAGATAGAAGACACTGAGAGTGTGGCTCACAGTGACTCTTCTCCTCCCTGTCATGCCCCTCTCCATGTCCCCTTTCCTCCTTTCTCACTTTAGCCGTAATCCTTCACCAGGGACGTTTACTGGGGCTGAGGGGTAAGTGCAGATCCTGAACCAAACTCTTCTTCCTGGCTTCTAATAGCCACTGTGAGGCTGTTCCCACCTCTCTAGAATACCCTCCTGTATGTTCCTCAATGTCATCCACTTGCAGTCACTGCATTGCAGCAGGTTTTTTTTTTTTTAATTTATTTTTGCTTTTTTACATGTTTGTTACATGGCCACCAAACTGCTCAGCAGCTTAGTCTATTTATCATCTTTTGTTGCAGCTGAACTTTCTTTCAGACTTTGTTTTCCTTTCAATAAAAACATGAAACATCTTTTAAAACTGTCATTAATCTACATTGTTTATTCTTGTTACCAATCATGTTCCTTTCATTCACTTACTTGCCCATGGAATTGGGGATGTTTTGTGAGTCTGGTCATTCAAGGTAATCCAGCAAACGCTCAGTCTGGTGTAGTTTGTGAGAGCTACTCTGTTCGGTGTGTCTGGATTCTTACAAGTGCAGCTTTTTACCACCCTGCTCAAGGGAAATATCCTTACCACAGGAGAGAAAAATCAGAAGATGAACTGTAAAATAAAGATTTTATTTAAAAATATAATTATTTACTTTAGACTGTGTAAGGTTCATTTTTCTAAAATAGAAATTTAAAAAAAAGGATACCTAAGATCCAATTATGTTTTCTTTTGTTAACTAAAATGCTTTTTAAGAAATTAATAGATGTGTTTTAAAAGTAAGCTTAGCTATTGCTAGACTGGCAAAATCCCCTACTCCATTTACTGAGGTACTTAAAATAACGAGCATGCTCTCTCTCTCCAGCTTTGTCTTGAATTGGCATCGCTGCCCTTGTATCCCAACTGGCTGTAGCTTCTAGATAATATCATAAAGATTAACCATAACCTCTTACAACATCACCATTTTCTAGGTGAAAATATTTGGTATTTGGTTTTTCTGTTGCAGCAAATAAAACCTCAGGAGCACCAGGAAATCGTCCTGGAAGTGTCATCCGCGTGTATGGTGATGAAAACAGCGATAAAGTGACTCCAGGGACATTCATACCCTATTGTTCAATGGCACACGCACAGCTTTGCTTCCATGGGCACCGGGATGCCGTGAAATTCTTCGTGGCAGTCCCCGGTAAGTTGCGTGTTCTGTTGAGATGTTCTGTGTAACTGTCTCTCTTCTGTCCCACTTCTGCTTCTATGACCTGGTCCGCTGCTCAGTGCTGGGATTACAGGAAATTATATCGAATATGTGAGGAAGCTCTGTAATGGGAATATGAATAAAGTGTCCAGGGATACTTGAATGAAGTTATTTTGGAATCTCTCCACCCTACAAACTAATTTTGATTTTCATTTAAAAGACTTGCTTACTTTTAAAAAGCAATGATACTGTTTCATCACAGCAGAGTACCAAAAATGACCTTGACGTACTGAATGAGATCGCTAGAAAAACTCCGTATCAAGGCTGCAGGCAGGAGCGGATGAGGACTGCACTCCGGTGCTTTCAGCAGTGCTGTGGGAAAGAGCCCAGGAGTCTGGGCCCTCTGCCTCTGCCTTGACCTTGAGCAAGTCACCGCGCCTCTGCCATGGGCTTCCCCGCTTCCTCTGGATGTGACGAATAGCTGCTATGTCTACTTCATTTGTTGTGAAAACTCTTGAAATTGCTCTTGGGAATTACAAAGTGCTATCCAGATAGAGGAGGTAATAGGGTGATGTCATTCCACTGAGAATACTAAAATGACAGGACTGACTGTAAGCAGGACCTGTGTTTTCAATATTTTCCCCACAAGAGGCCAGTTTTGGAATTAGACCAAGTTCAGATCTGACTTCCACATTAACTATGATAGAGAAGTGGTAGCATCCCAGAGTACGAGGGTTCTCCTGAGAACAGTGTGTGTTGGGGGGGAGAGATTTCAAGGAATCGGCTCACATAGCTATGGAGGCTAAAGGTCTATAATATGTGGGGCATGCCAGCAGACTGGACACCCAGGGAAGGGTTGAGGCTGCAGCTCAGTCTGAAAGTAGTCTGGACACGTTTTTCTTCTTAGGGGTCCTCCGTTTAGTGCCTTCAACTAATTAGATAAGGCCAAGCCATATTATGGAGTATAGTCTGTTTTACTCAAAGTCTGCTGCTTTAAATATTAATGACATCTAAAAAGTACCAAGTCAAACACCAGTCTAGATTTTGGGCACCACAGCATAGTTATGTGAACACATAAGAGTAATTATCACAGTCCTTTCCCAAAGGTGTTCAGTGATTTAAATGCACATAGGGCAGGTACCAGCAGATGGAACTGAAACAGTTACTCCATTACTCTTCTTTTTTTTTTTTAGAGGTTTTTGCCTTAGGGTGCAGGTGCTTGTTGGAGAGAAAGAGACAGAGACAGTGAGAGGGAAAATGAGAACTCATCCTTCAGGGGGTGTGGCCACACTCCAATCCCTTCTCCTCCATTCTCCTTCTAGGATCTGGGGCATGCACGCACACGCACCCTGGATGGATTTTAAGCCCCAGGGTCCTGGACTCAGCTGCGGTCAACCATGTGGGAGTCCAACGACGTAACTATGCCATCTGCTGGCCCCATATTCCGTTAGTCTTAACATGATAATGAGTCCTCTAAAACTTCATTTGTACATTTCATGTATTTATATAGTCTTTTCCTTAGGGTAAATTTCTAGAAATAGAATTTCTGGTAATAGTGTTTTTCTTGCTGTTTTTTAAAAAAGGAAATATAGAGTTCCGTTTGAGGCTCCCTTCTATCCCTTTCTCATCCCATTTTCTTTCCCCTTTCCTCTCCATCTGTACCCACAATCTTGAAGTTGACATGTATGTATCCTCCTATCCATGTTTTTTTTTTTAATATGTGAGTTTTTTCAAAATAATTGTTTATTTATTCATTCATTTATTTTAATTTGACCAGAAAGAGAGACAGAGAGAGAGGGGGAAAGTGAGAAAGCAAGCCACTTGGTCCAGGACTCAAATCATGGTTGGCCATGTGGGAGTGTCCAGTGCCTTAACCACCACATCACCTGCTGGCCCCTCCTGCACATGTTTTTTTATGATGTAACATTGAAGCACATAAGTATGCTGTATCTTCCTCAACTTCTCATTTTTTTTGACATTAATGTTTATGCATAAAAGTCTAACTTTTTTATTTACCTGTGGTATTCTCTTATCTGAATAAATGTGCTACATTTTTCAAAATTATCATTATAATTCTATAATTCTGAATAAATAATAAAGAATTATTTATATATTTTTTTTCACATGAGTTTTGCCAGAGAAAGACAGAAAGAGTGAGGGAGGAAAGGAAGGAGGGAAGACAGAAAGAGTGAGGGAGGAAAGGAAGGAGGGAAGGAGGGAGGGAGGGAGGGAGGGAAGGGAGAGTGAGAAAGCAACCAGCCAGATCTGGGACTCAAACTGTGGTCAGCCATGTGGAATTCCAGCGCCTTAACCATCACACCACCTGCTGGCCCCTTTGCTACATTTTGGTTATTCTCCCATAGGTAGACCTCTAGGTTCCCCTGCCTTTTTTTCACTATTGAAAACAATACAGTGGGAGGGAAAAAAGAATACCGTGGGACCAGCAGATGATGTAATGGTTACATTGCTGGATTCCCACGTAGCCAACCATGGTCCAAGTCCCAGACCTGGTGACTTAAAGCTCACGCTAGGCATGTGTGTGTATGTACCCAAGATCCCAAGAGGAGAATGGAGGAGAAGGGATCACGATGTGGCCAATGCCCTGGGGGGTGATTTCTCTGTCTGTCTTTGAGTACACACATCTAATAGCAACTGTCTTAAAAAAAAAAAAAGATGGGGCCAGCAGGTGGCATGGTGGTTGGGGTGCTGAACTCCTACATGCTTGCCCCATGGTTCAAGGCCCGAACCTGGTGGCTTGCCTTCTCTCCCTCTCCCTCTGTGTGTGTCTCTCTCTCTCTGTCCAAATTAAATAATAAACAAAGTTAAATAAATAATTCTTTTGTAAAAAGTTTTAAATAAATAAATAAAAACAAAAGAAAACAATACAGGAGGCTAGTCCTGTAGCCTAGTGGTTATGAGAGTGGGCTCCCACATGCCCAACCACAGATTGAATCCTTCTTTTTTAATTATTTAATTTTATTCATAATTATTATTTCCAGAGAGAGTTAGAGAAGGAAAGTAATAAAGCAAGCCATCAGATCTGAGACTCAAACCACAGTCAACCATGTGGGAGTTCAGCACCTTAACCACCATGCCACCTGCTGGCTCCTCCACAGATTGAATCCTGACCTCAGCTGCTTGAAAAACACACTGGGCCGGGGGATGGGGGGGTGGGGGGGAGGGTGTGCGTGCGTACGCGTGCAGCTTAGATTACTCAACGTAGATATTTTTAACCAGCTCTTAACAGCAAAATGTTTCTAATTGTGCAGAGCCTTCTAGCATCCCCAATGTTCTGGTTGTACTTTAGAATATACTTACCTTTTTGCTTAACTCTCTAAAAATATTCAGAAAAACAAGTCTCCCCCACTCCCATCTATGACAAATAACATTCACTTTTGTTCCTGTACAAAATAGGTCAAGTCGTCAACCCACAAAGTGGCAGCAGTGGCACGGATCTTACAGGTGACAAAACAGGGCCATCGACACAGGAGCCTGGCAGCCAGGCCCCTTTGAAGTCTATGCTCGTCATCAGTGGAGGAGAGGGCTACATCGACTTCCGAATGGGTAAGCCGCGCCTGCTTCCCAGCTGCTCTTGGTTCCCACCGTGCTCTGTAGATTTTCCCCTCAGTAAGAAGCCATGTTCCTAATGATTCCTAAGGGATTTTCTTGGAAAGGATTTTCTACTTCTTCTCTCTTTTTTGTTTGTTTGTTTTATGTTGTTGTTTGAATTTTGTTAAAAGGTACTCACTGGAGGAAACCAGCAGTTAGCGTAATGACTATGTCACTGAACTCCCACGTAGTTGACCATGGTTCACGTCCAGGACCCAGTGGCTTAAAACTCACACCGGGCGCACGTGCGTGCGTGCCCAAGAACCCGAGAGGAGAATGGAGGAGAAGGGATTGCGGCGTGACCATCCTCCCTGGGGGGTGATTTCTCGCTTTCTGTCTCTCTGTCTCTCTGTCTGTCTGGCGAGCGCACGTGCCCTATAATGAAAACCTCTCCCAAAAAAGAAAAAGATACTCACTGGAGAGAAATAGAGGGAAAGTGAGAAAACACTTCCCATGCAGCATGGTCCTGCTGCAGCCCATTCTCCTCCATTCCTCTCAGTATTCTGGCATGCAGGCACATGGACCTGGCATGCTTTTCAGGCCACCAGATCTGGGACTCGAATCATGTGTGAACCAGCCACCTTAACCACCACCAGACCACCAGGCTGGCCCCTCTACTTTTTTATTTTAATGATAATTTTATTTTATTCTTTTTTTTTTTTTTTAATTTGACCAGAGAGAGACATAGGGTGAGAATGAGAGAGAGGGGAAGTAAGAAAACAAGCCACCAGATTCAGGATGCAAACCCTGGTCGGCCATGTGGGAGTGTCCAGTGCCTTAACCACCATGCCACCTGCTGGTCTCAGCCCCTCTTCTTTTAAAAAAAACAAAAATCTCTGCTTATACTAAAGTGTATGTGTTTGAAGGAACAGTAAAAAGAGTAGGGTATAGTCGTATGTTGAGGCGTGTAAAGAACATAAATTTGGAGTCAGACCTTAGGCAAATCATTTAACCTCCAGAGACTTCGCTTCCTCACCTGGAACACAGAGAAATAAAAATACTTAATAAGTTATCGTTTGTATCAAAACTGATTTCATTTGTTCATTTTCTCATGCAACTAACACTGAGGATCTACTTATAGATCAATAAATCAAACTGTCAGCCTCAAACTTGTAACAGGAAACAAATCAGACAAAACCTCCCTCCACTGGGTAATAAAATGGTGCAAAGATACAGAAGTGTTAATAAAATTAGCGTGTTACAGATGCTATTCGGGAGTAGTTAGCTCTTCAGGGAGCAGAGGGCAGGGAAGCCAAGAAATGGAATTTGAGATAACTCGACATCAAATAGTGTTAGTCTGAAGGGTCAGGCTGGGGGACAGAATGGGAGGGCTAGAAATGGACATTCCAAGGTTGGAGAACAGCCTGACCAAAGTCTTAGAGATGTGAAACGATATGAATTAAAGAAAAACTAGGACCAACCTGTGGCATGGCGATTAAAGTAACTGGATCCCACATGGCCGACTACATCATTTGAGTCCCAGACCCGGCAGCCTGAGAAGCACACTGGGTGTGTGTGTATGTGTGTGCCGCAGATCCCAGAAGGATGGAGAAATGGAGGGAAGGGATGGTGGTGTGACTGTCCCACATGGTGGGGAGTGCGGTGCTTTCTCACTTTCCCTCTGTGTCTCTAGTGAGCGCACGCGCCCTCTAGCAAATTAAAAAGACAAAAACTATTTTTAACTGATGGGAGCATGAGGAATAGCAGACAGTATGAATTTCTCTTTTTTTTTTTTGGAGAGGTTTTTGCTATAGGGCACGTGCGCTCGCCAGACAGAGACAGAGAGACAGAAAGCGAGAAATCACCCCCCAGGGGGGATGGCCACACCACAATCCCTTCTCCTCCATTCTCCTCCTGGGATCTTGGGCATGCACACACACGCACCTGGCATGAGTTTAAGTCACTGGGTCCGGGACTCAAACCACTGTCGACTACATGGGAGTCCAGCGACATAGTCATTACACTAACTGCTGGTCCTGCGAGTATGAATTTCTAATCTGGAAAGGGAGGGAAGGACTAGATTACAAGAGGCACTTATATACCAACTTAAGGAGTTTGCAGTTTATCTTTCAAGTAAAGAAAACTATTTGAGAACTTTTAAATAGAGTGCTGATTAGTGATTAGATTTGTGTGGAAGATGAATTAGAGGTTCAAGACTAGAGATAGGAAAATGAGATGGGAAAAAAGAGCATCTGAGTAAGAGAGTAAGCGTGTGATAGATAAGCAGGAAGGGGATTGTTAACTACTAGGATGTGAGAATAGAGGGAGTTATCCGTTCTCTCCAAGCTAAGGACTGTCAGATCTGAGTGGAGGGAAGGAGGGCTTCCGTGTTAGATAGGTTGACTCTGAGGAGCATGGTGGTGATTGAGGTAGATTTCCACTGGACTTTTGGGTATGAAGGGCCTTATATCTCAGAAGGGAGGGATTTGGAGGCCATCAGCATGCAGTGATATTGAAAGCCATGAGTTCACCCAACTAGAGGGTACAGGAACTGAAAGAAGGGATTCTGTGACAGAATATAGAATTAATACTCCATTTAAAAGATCATTAGCGGGGACCAGCAGATGGCATAATGGTTATATCTCTAGACTCTCATGTAGTCGACCACAGTTCAAATCCCAGACCCCATGACTTAAAACTCACACTCACCCAGGTGCATGTGCCCAAAATCCTAAGAGGAGAATGGAGGAGAAGGGATTGTGACTTGGCCATGCCCCTGTAGGGGTGATTTCCCACTTTCTGTCTCTCTGTTTCTGTCTCTCTGGTGAGCACACATTCCCTATAGCAAAAATCTGTCTCTAAAAAGAAATTCATTAATGCTTATGAAGAGATCTAAGGGGTAGTGGCCAGAGAGGTACTGAAAACATAGACAGTTGATGCTTCTGAAAGAGGAGTGCTTTATAAACAGCAAAGCACTGTGCAGGCGCAGGCACCACGAGCTGGTGGGACAGCAGCTCCACCCCACATGGCCAACACTGGCAGCGTGATCGAGTCTGGACATAGCAGCTTACAAAACACACCGCGTGTGTGTATTTGTGTGTCCAGAGTTCCAAAGGAAGTGATAGATAGAGGAGAAGGAAGAAGGGATTGTAAATTTTCCATGCTGTGCTTTCTTCTTCCTTTGTCTCAGTCTTACTGTTTCTCTCTTGTGAGCTGAGCACACATTCTTTTTTTCTTTTTTTTTTTTTTTTTTTGTCTCTCTGTCTCTCTCTTTCTGGTGAGCACATGCGCCCTGTAGCAAAAACCTCTCCAAAAAAAAAAAAAAAGAGGGAGACTTTTTGCTATAGGGCGGATGCACTTGTTGGGGGTGTAGAGAGAGAAAATGAAAAATCAGCCCCCAGGGGAATGACCAAGCTGCAGTCCCTTCTCCTCCATCCTCCTCTCGGAATTTTGGGCATCCATACACACGCCCCTGGTGTGTATTTCAAGCCGCCATGTCCAGGACTCAAACCACAGTTGACTATGTGGGAGTCCAGCAGCATAACCATGACGCCATCTGCTGGTACCAACCACAGATAAACGGAGAAAAAAAATGGCACTGTGCACATAAAAATTTGCTATAAATAAATGGATTCCAGGAACTGTCCTATAATCACAGTTAGGAACCTAAAAGGTTCCCAAACATAAAGTACTAAGTGGTTTTGGAGGATATAATGTTGTGGATCAATGACAAATACTTGTTTTAGATATAGATTCTATAAAAATGGAGTATAAAATACAGAGGCCGATGGATGCCTGATGCCAGACCACATGGCCCTGTGACGCTGATCCACATAGGAAGGTCCCAGGCTGGTGTCGGGAAACCTCCCTGAGCACGTGTGCCCCTGATTGAGGGCCGGTTGAGGCTGTGAGTGGGTCACGGTCCTGGGACCCTGTTGGAGATGCTCTGTCTTTCTCCATCGTTCTCACTCGTGGAAGAGAGAAATAAACATTAAAAAGTCATGTAAATGAGTGTGCCATATATGTTTTTTAGGAACCAAAGGGGCTGGCAGGTGGCGTGGTGTGGTGGTTAAGGGCGCTGGCCTCCCACATGGCCAATCACGGTTCAAGTCCTGGACCTGGTGGCTTACTTTCTCACGTTCTCTCTCTCTTTCTCTCACTCTCACTCTCTTACTCTGTCCCTCTCTGGTCAAAATAAAATAAAGTTAAATAAAATATTTTTTTTAAAAGAAGGAATCAGAATATTTGATGCAAAAGGCTTAGATTTGGGGAGGGGGAGAAGGTAGAAGATATTAAATGATTTCAATTATGTCTGCAGAAATGGAGTCCTTTCAAAGTGTTTAAAGTGTTTAAATAATTGATGATTTGTGCAGAAGTCCCTTGCAGAGAATGATTGTAGGGATCAGGGCAGATTTTTGTAGCTCTTTTGTGGAAAGCAATGTGGCAGTTGGAACCATACTATGACATATGTTAATATCCTTTCTATGTAGATTTTCCATTTTCCATTTCCACTAACATTCCTTTCATTGTGGATCCTGAAAATAGCGCAGAAATGTCTTAACCAGGGTTGGCAGTATCTCTAGTTCATCCAGCCTAAAAATAAACGTGTCCTTTTTTTTAGGCTAATTCTAATAAGTGAATATGCTTTTTTAAAAAAAGGATTTGATCTGGGAGCCAGCAGTTAGCGTAATGGCTATGTCGCTGGACTCCCACGTAGTCGACCGCAGTTCGCGTCCCCGACCCGGTGGCTTAAAACTCACGCCGGGCACATGTGCGTGCGTGCCCAAGATCCTGAGAGGAGAATGGAAGAGAAGGGATTGCAGTGTGACCATCCCCCCTGGGGAGTGATTTCTCGCTTTCTGTCTCTATGTCTCTCTCTGTGTCTGTCTGGCGAGCGCATGCGCCCTATAGTGAAAACCTCTCCCCAAAAAAAGGATTTATGTATTATTATTTTAATTTGCTTAAGGGCACATGGGAAAGTGAGGAAACAAGCCACCAAGTCTAAGACTCAAACCTTGGTCAGCCATGTGGGAGTCCAGCACTTTAACAACCACGCCACCTGCTGGCCCTTCCATTTACTTTTTCATTTCCTATAATTTTTTTTTTTTTAAAAAGAGAGATTTTTTATTATAGGGCACGTGTGCTCACTGGAAAGACAGAGAGACAGAAAGAACGCCCTCAGTTCAGAGATGGCCATCCCACAATCCCTTCTCCTCCATTCTCCTCTTGGATCTTGGGTATGCACACACACGCACCCTGCATGAGTTTTAAGCCACTGGGTTCAGGACTCAAACTGCGGTCAACTAAGTGGGAGTGCAGTGACCTATCCATTATGCCATCTGCTATAATATTTTAATTTATCTCCTATAATATTTTAGCAATGGAAAGTTGATCCCAACAATTCCATATTTATTAAATGAATTATTTATTTATTTTTGCTTATCATTACTTTTTTAAAATTTGCTGCAAGGCATGCATACTCACCAGGAAGAGAGGTGGGGAGGGGAGGAGTAAGAAAGCAAGCTGCCAGGTCCAGGACTTGAACTGTGGTCAGCCATATGGGAGTCTAGCTGCTCAACCATCATGTTACCTGCTGGTTCCTAGTCTCATATTTTTTTTTCCAATCCCATATTTTTAATTATTTAACTTAAATATTAGGATGTAGAACCCCTGGAAGATAGAACTATATATAGATATAGATGTAGGGTTTTTTTTTTTTAGGAGTGATTTTTTGCTATAGGGTGCATGCACTCACCAGAGAGACAGACAGAAAGTGAGAAATAACCCCCCAAGGAGATAGCCACACTGCAATCCCTTCTCCTCCATTTTCTTCTTGGAATGTGGGGCACACACGTACATGTGCCTGGAGTGAGTTTTAAGCCACCGGGTCCAGGACTCGAGCCATGATCAACTATGTAGGAGCCTAGCAACGTAACCATTATGTTATCTGCTAGTCCCACAGAACAATATATTTTTAAAAATTTGCTATTAGGGCATGTGTACTTGCACATGAAAGAGAGACTGAGACAGAGTAAGTCTCCTTGAGGGGGGATGGCCGTGCCACACTCCCTTCTCCTTCGCTCTCCTTTCGGTATTTGAGTCATGCACATACACATGTCCATTGTGTTTCTCAAGCTGCAGAGTTCAGGTCTCAAAATATCCTTGTGGGATCCAGCCACCCTAACCACCATACTGCTAACTAGTCACAGAACCTTTTTTTTTCAGTTTTGCTTTAAGGCATGTGCAGTTGCCAGAGAGAGGAAGAAAGAGGGAAAGTAAGAAATTATCCCCTAGGAGCATGGGTGCACACGCATGCTCCTGAAATGTTTTTCAAGCCACCTTGTTCCAAGACTCGAACTTTTGTTTCAGCCAGTTAATCTGTCACTGTTATTCTAAGTTTTATAAATTTAAGAGCCATACTTAATTTTGTTTTGCATTTAATCTTCTAGTTATACTTCAGTTTAGAAATTGAATTTTCTTCTGAATATGTTCCTATTATAGTTGGACATTGCTATGAAAAGGCCACTAGGGGGTAGGTGAGGGAGAGTTTGACCTGCAGAGAAAAATGCAAGTGTTTAGATTTTTTTTTTCCTCCTGCTATTTCTAGCCAACAGTGGCAGTAATTTTTGTGTTTCTTCAGACGAAATTGAGGTGGGGCATAGTACACATTCCAGTAGATCAGCGAGACGTCTCTGTCACTCGGTATGCACCTTTTCAGAAGAGTCCATTCCATTAAACAGGTTGTTACTGGGTTATGCCAGGAGAACCCTGCTCTGCAGCAACAAAGCCAATGGAGGTGAGCCGTGGAGAGGAGTATGATAGAGCTGCCCTGGGCCTGGAAACCAGGGCCTTTTCTCAGGACCTCTTCTATCACATTCACTCTGTGGCCTCATGGAACTGAGAGCCAATTGCTGCCCTGGCCGCTCT